GGAGGGTAAAATATATATATATATATATATATATATATATATATATATATATATATATATATATATATATATATTTTGTCGACATATAATTTAGGGGTTTATTTTATAAATAGTGAGAAATTGGAGGGGCAAACAAAATAATTATGCAAAAAAGAATGTTCCGTTCTATTATTAGATTCTCTTTTTGTTTCTCAAAAACTAAATTTGTATTATTTGAAAAGTACTCCTTTTCCTTTTCTTTCTTGCTCCAACTTTCATGGTAATTGAGATCATTAAACTTTATTTATTTTAATTTATTTTAATTAATTAATTAATCGTACCTATCATTTTTGGTCTCGAAGTATTGTTAGGTAATGATCTGTAACAATTTAGACTCCTTTATTTATTTTTTTTGTTTTAATTCTTAAAAATTGTTTCTCATCGTCATAATCATATTTGTTTTCATATTTATTTTTTTTATTTTTTAAAAGGTGAGATAGATCTAAGCCTAAAAGGAGATGTGAGGACATACATATACATAGGGTTCAATAATAATGTGGGTTTTACTTTAAAGGCACATGCCCCAACGTAGGGCCTATAAGCTTAGTAGTGGCACATGGAGTTACCCTAAGTTTGAAGTATCCTATTGAATAATTGTGATGTCCTCCTTCACTCCTTCACTACAAAGTATTGGATACTTTGATGGCTGATTTCAAAGCGTAATGGGTATATGTAAGGGAGCATAGAAGGGGTAAAGCGACACTTTTTTTAACACCTACCTATCGTATCGTTTCTTTTTATGTACAATGCTATGAATTTATCTAACAAATCGAGCGGAATCTATTTGGTAGGTCCATCAAGAGTAGACAAACAAACATATAAGACTGACTTCTCAAGGGGTCAACCAAATGGCTTAATTGGTCAACTCTTTGATGAGGCGACCTACTTTTCTTAAACATACCTCTAGAGTAGATGAATGCTTCAAACAATCTCTTGGGAATTGACCACCAAATTCACGATCAACCTTGAAGCAAAATAAACCTTAAGGGTGATAGAGAAAGTCGATTGTTAGTTAATGACCAACCTTTTGTCGGAGGGTCTTGTTGAGCTCAAAGGGATTGAACATGAGTATTTCATGATTACGACGACCCAACAACAAGATGAGATTCTCCAAGAGAGCTGAAAAAAATTAAAGGTACGTTATAAGTTTATGATGAGTATAAAATACAAATTTTGACTACATTCTAAATTTCGACGAACAACACTACATTTTACTTTCTAAGTTCTCCATTAGTGTTTAGCTGGCTTAGCACCACGCTAATATTACTTACCCTTATTTTCTAGACACAGTATTTTTCGATCATACAAATTTATCGTCGCTTTAGTATACTAATTTTCGACATCAATTGTTGCCCATTCATATGGTTAGAACGATGCTTTATTAAAAGTTTCATATTAGAATACCATGAATAATAAGATGAAGGAAAGTAATCAGGTTGGTTGATGAAAAAGAGTCGAATCGTGAGCAACACTCTTAACGAGTAGAAGATGGAAGTCCCTCTATTGAACCTAACCAATTTGCAACAAGAAGGTAGGGTCCCAACGATGGATCAAAAGTATAGCTCAAATCTTCGAGTTTGAGATCATATATGGATTTCCATTATAAAAGACGAGATTGCTAGAGCTTTAATAAAATTAAATATTTTATATCACAATAAATTGAAATTTTAAATAGAAAGAGAAATATGCATAAAAGAAGATTAGAAGAAAAATGTTTTCACGTGGTGGTGATGTATCATTCAATGTGGTGCTCAATAGACATATCTTGTTGCTGACGTTGCATGCAATGGTCAAATTTTTGATGACGTGTGGCGTGATGTGGCGATGACGTTGTACACGTGGATGAACAGCAAGGCAATGAGGAAAAGGGGCTCACGCACCAATGAGATTAAACGTGTCGCAATCTAATTTTTCGAAAGGATTTTATTATTAAAAGAAAAAAAAGGAAAAAACAAAATGCAATTGTCTGCCACCTCCCTCACGTGCGTACGCAGGTGTGCAGTACACACGCCTTGCGTGCAAGATGAAACCACGCGAGTATAGGAATTTATGCAGTCGTGCATCTGGCTGTCTTCACTGTCGGCTGGAGATCTTTTTAGCCCATTTTAAATTCCAATATCCAACTTCTCAGCATTTAATACCAACCGTTCAATTCCCTTACCCTAAATCCAATGGCTAATCTTTAATCTCTTTTTTTTTCTTTAAAAGGAAAAAAAAGTAGGCATATTCACCTTCAACTTTCACCTCCTCCAAAAATTCCAACAACCTCCAATCCTCATTTTCTCTACAAAATTGCTCAATTTGCAATTTTCTCACATACTCTTACTCTCCAAAAAATTTAACCCTTTAGAGGTATTATAAGAGGAGCATCTAGGATTGTAACAATCGATTTGATCTCGAACAAGTTAAAAGAATCGGTTTGATTCTTACCCGCAAAATACCCACAACAAAAAATGGTGACGGTGACGATGAGGAGAAAATAGAGGAATTTGTGAAGGTTGCTTGTTTAAAAAAAATTTGGACCAAAAAAGAGAGTGCTTGTGCTTAGCTTACTTGCCAAGCTAGTCTCCAACAACAAGTACTTGTACACAAAGTGAAAGACAAAACCATTCCATTTAATTTCTTTTCCTTTTGGATGTTCATCCAAAAGTACGTACTTTTCCTTTTTTTTTTTTCCATGTGAAGTTATCCCAACCAACCACATCAACTTTCCTTTTTTCTCCTATCAACCTTCTTCCACCTCTTAATCATTTACCCTAAATTTTAGAATCTATTTCTCTTACCTTCTAAATGTTTTTGTGAAAGTTCATAGGGAGAACCAAAAATAACGTTGATATTCTATATGGTTTTTAGTAACTTTTCTTTCTTCTTTTTGTCTTTTCTCCTAAATGAATTAAACAATCAAACCATCAAAACCCATTTCCTTTTTTGTCTGAGTTTCTCAATCAATGTTTAACAATCAATCCGACTCATTCCATTTTATAACAAGAGGGTTAGTCGACATAATTAAACTCGAGTTATCTATATAGTTTTTTTTTTTTTTTTTTTTCACTCTATTTTGTACTCTTCATTCCCCAAGTACGTTTTAACTTAATGAAATTGAAAGTATAGTGAAAATTAAAACCCGAAATATTTGTAGGCTTAACTCATGACTTGCTAAAGTTGGCCAACCAATAACAAGAGCTTTCAACCTAAGACTCAGGGAAGTTAGTTCATGGGGAAGTAGGAATGAACTGTAGGAATTATGAGAAAGTAATATTTCATTATCTCAAGTTCCAAAGATACCAAATATAAAAGAAGTAAAGAGGAATCAACCTTCTCTATTCTTGCTTGCATCCTTCTTCAGCTATGGTTAGGGAGAATTCCATCCTTCTCTCTTCTTCTTCTTCTTCTTCTTCTTCTATTGGGCTTAAAATGAAGGCAACTGTATTGAAATTATCTAGGGAAAACAGCTCAAAGAGATTCATAATTGGGTTATAGATAGCATATTCTGATTGGGCTTTTACATTTTGCAAAGCCTAACAAAAATGGAAAGGAACAGAAGCTTTGATAGTGAAAACGTCCAAACCGTTTTCAGTAGAATTACATACCATAATCAACAGAAATTACAATATGATATTCAATAGGAAAGTTCAAAAACTCTACCTCGCAATGAACTGCAATAGAAAAGAGGAGAAAGTTACATGGGAAACTAGAAAATGAGTCCTGCGATGTGTAGCACTTCCACCTTCTCCAGGGAAGAACCTATGCAAGACCAACTTTACATGATAAAAAGTGTATTGAGTCAAAATGAAAAGATATCAGAGGGAGAGGGAGGGGGAGGGCAATTCTCACAGCTCGGCTTCGACAAAACATATTCAAGAACCTGGAAAGGTGAAGAATAGATCCTACAAGTCGTTAATCAAGTAATCCTATGTATTAAGAACGGGTCGGGGCCAATTCCTGCTTGCTCTTGCTTCTCTTCATCTTTGCCTTGAATCTTGATTTTGCCATTAAGGTTTGCACTGTATTTGAAAAGTTCCCGACTGCCATTAGAACCAAAAGGAATCCACAAAATAACACCTGCAACGGACATTTATCCATCAGTTTGTATCTGAGAAAGCATGTTCACAATCTTTTTCTGAGTATGAAATAGTATTTTTGAATTAGAACCAGCAGAATCAATAAGCAATTCATGACCTGCCATTCAGGAACCACGCCAACCAATGCAGTCTTGAGGAGGAGCAATCCAACATACGCCTCAAAGCCCTATTAAATACACCACATGTAAATAAATTAGGAAATTACGAACACTCGTGAGAGTTCCATTGTGTAGCAGATGGCTATGCAGGTTATGGCTGCTAAATGCCCTTTCCCAAACAAAGATGGTTTATTTGTAAAATACTAAATCCACTGAGCCATCAATTGTAAAATGTACAGTAAAAGAGTACCATTTACAAGATTACTCAAAATTTACAAAATAACCCACCATAACATCCTGGGAAGGCCAGATTCAAAAAATCTTTCTCAACAAGCTTCTTACACCACACACATCCAAACCATCACAAAAAATTGTATACACCATATAACAGAAGGGGTTTATGACCATGAGGAGAGGATCCTCATTCCTAAGTTCTTTGTAATTGTAGATGTATTCCAAGACTAAACTAACATCTTTTCTAATTTCATCTCCAACAACTTAGCTTAAAATCTAAAAGCTATACCATCTCTACTTTCGAGTTTTTTTATATGAAACATTCAAAACAGCTACCTTCATTGTTACCAGACTATCCAATTGCTTAAACAGTTTTCTAAAATTGGCATACATAAACTATTTCATGAATGATTATCTGTACTACATAATATGGTTTTTTGTCAACTTTCAGAAAATTAACACGTTCAAGCGGAAAATTGTTTGCTATTAATAAAAACAGCAACAGTATATTTAAAATCTTTTTTTTTTTTAGTTTTTCTAATATAAATCAATAAATCTTCTGCAGTTAAGGAAATTAGAGCACATACAATCAAATTGTTAACTAAGAACAGATGCTAGTTTAGATCAAATGCACCATGGATAAATTATTACTCTAAAAAGAAGCTTCCATGCAAAAAAAAAAAAAAAAAAACCAAAAAAAAAAACAAAGGACTCCCACCAAGTCAAAGAAGGGAGAACACTTTTGTAATTTGACTCCAATTCATTAGATAGTTAGAACTACGTTAAGGGAAAGGGTGAGTGTATTACGATGCCCTCCAACTATTTCAACCAAGGGAATGAAAAACGAAAAGAGTTTTACTAGTTTGAACTTACTTAAAAGCTGCTTAAAAATTGAGGCTTAAATTACCTGTAAGATAAATAGTAAAGGACACAGTATCCAAAGTTGACCATCTACACCAGCTGTTTCTCCCCAAACGACATCCATTCTCTTAGCCTAGGAATAAAAAAAAATGAACAATGAAATCAACAGACAAATAAAATGACAGAACAGCAATCATCCATTATAAAACATAAGCAAAATTCAAACGCTTATTATTGTGCATGCCTCATCAGATGCTTAAAATGAGTGCGTTGGGTAGGGATAATGATTTCCAGTCACAGAATGTGATGTAACATTAAGTAGAATAAATTGTTTTATAGTTGACTGTAAAATGAATGCAGTCTCAAATGGCACCTTTCCAAGTGCAATCCGAGTATAAAGCCTCTGACGCTGGTATCTATTTTGTAAAAGCATTGCAACTCCTTGCATCATGGCCCACTGTAGGAAGAGTTGGACACCTCTCTGGAGGGGATTGAACCAGTAAAATTAATCTAATGCAAAGAGTATGATCGTATTTAGCAGATAATAACAATTGAAAAACCTGTTTTTGGGCACAATTTGGTTGTCCTTTGATCTCCCACGTAAGACTAACAAGGGCCATAATCATAGCGCAATAGTGATGGTATATCCACCTGTAAAGTCATTACTCACGAACCTCACCAAAATGTCTGTAGAACTAACAAGGGATCATAGAGCATAATAGTGATGATACTTCCACCAGAAAAGGCACAATCACACACTTCACCATACTATTTGTACCATACCACAGATATTTTTAACATTGGTAAAGTACAAATCCCATCCATCAAACCATATCAAAAGAAAGAGAATAAAAATTGTTTAAAGCTCCCGTGGAACAGACATCTTTGTATCACGGACCAAATATAAATTTGAACTTAAAGATGCAGTGACAAGAGAACACATGCATGATAACCTTTCCAGTGCCCAAGTTGGCTCAGGCAAGAGAATCCTCTTTGCCTTCCTTTTTATTAGTGTAGTGGGTTGCTTTCACCTACTTCAGAGTGGAAAGAAAAGAGGTGATTCTACAGGCTTTGACAAAAGGAGGGTGGGTTACGGTGCATGTTAATCATAATCATCTACAGTTGGTACATGAGCTTTGCTCGTAATGATAGCCACTAAGATTGTTTGCAAAAAACCCTTTCAATATTATGAAGACCTTTGAACTGTAACACTATTATAGTGGTTTGGACTTCCAAGACCATAAAGACAAAGTAAAAAATGTCTTCTCAAGTCTTAAATCCACATATTAACTCTTGAGGCTTCTTGCCTTTAAACCAAACATTCTAGCGGAGAGCAATATGATCGTTAACACCTTCTCGTGAGTATTGAACCTTTCTCCTGCTATTGTTTGGACATCCATATTGAGATTAAACCCTACCATAAGCTTGGACTAAAAAATGCCTCACTGCTAAGCAGAAAAAGGAGTCCTTCCCCAAATATGTGCCTCCCCATTGCAGCCACAGTTCTGAATCCAGCCAAAGTTCCATAACTCACTCCAAAAAGTAATTCTCTAAAAAGCCCATAAATTCTAAACAGCCACTGACTAAAATCACCCACCATAACCATCATAGAAAGGAATAAGAACGAGGATGCCCCTAGAAGAAACATCTACAACTAAAGAAAGCCATAAATATCTCTTAAACTCCAAGTAGACAAACCACAAGTCTCTTGACCTGGAATCCCAAAGCTCTCACATTCCTAGTATAGTTAAGAAATAAATACCACTTCAAGATATGCATCTCCTGACCACTCTCATAATTTCTAAGCAATGAAGAAACCTTTGGAAATATGCCACTCTTTTGTGGTCTGTTCAGATGGAAAGAAATCAAAAACCCTTCAAAGATGAAGAGAGATATCTAGGTTTACTTTGTGACTTTCTATAGCACACTTCACACTCCTAATTTAGTGCTCTTCACAAAGTCTTTTTGTAACTTCGATAGCTCTTCAATCATTCTTGATTCAAGGTAGTTTTCATTTAGTAGCTTTATTTGATTGGAAATTTTCTTTACCTACCTTAGACTGTTATGCGCATTTTGATTCATGGAAATGTTTGTTTATAATCCAAAAAAAGAAAAGGAAGAAAGAAAATCAGTAAATTTACTAGTCAATTTAAAAGCTCGTAAGAATCTACAATAGATATTTGCAGAAAAGAATATATTAAAAACCCTTTATGTTTATTTACAAAGAACACGACATTGGACCTGGCACTTGAGAGGAAGGCTTTTCAAAACTTCCTTACATAGTTTCAATAGTTTGTAGTCTCCGAAAATATTCCACATTAATTATGGTCTCTTATAACCAGTTGAAGCCGTTGTTGTATTGTGTTCTCAAAAAAAAAAAAAAAATAAATAAAGACTTTCGCAAGTAAAAGAACCTCAGAGTGGCTTTCTTTTTTAGCAGAATGCTATAAGAAAATGTTAACACAAAACTCTTCAAAATATCCCTTTGGAGGTTGCCATTCATGCCAAGAAGGATGGAGGGACAGGAAGATAAGGAGAAAATCAACATATTGGAGTAAAATAAAATCATTTTCATGATGAAGAGAGAGGGATGGATGGGAGGGAGAGGGAAAAGGATGGGTTGGAGAATTCTTACTACTGTAAGGGATTTTTTTTTTGTTTTGAAAAAGTAACATCAAAATTTTTGTTGTAAACAATAGGAGTTTCATGTAAATGTTCAGATTTTTTGTTTGGTTTCACTTGGGCAGCCTTCTCTTTTGTACTTGCATTATCCAACGAAAATTAATAAGTGAGTATAAAGAAACTTGTAATCTTATACATTCAAAACTATCATAATAACATTTAAAAATAAAATAAAATAAAGCATTGAATAACAACATATCGCTTACCAAGGACGAATGTCACTTCCGTTGACTCTTAGTATGTTTTCACGCAATGCCAATCCTGTGTATAGGAACAAAAGCCATGCCTAGAAAGAAAAAATGGTGTGTTAAAGAGTTTACATGAATCTATAAGTTTTCTTTCAAAGCATCCGATTCAATTACAAGAAAATAAACCAAAACATCTACGGGTATTTAGTCTGAGTTTTGCATCAAAATGAGATGTCTAGAATAGGATGTATGGAAAAGGGAAACATGTGCTGATATTTGCGGGTAGCAAGTCCCAGATGCCTAGAAATGATGAACGTAGAGTACAAACACTGTTGAGTTAATGTAAATGTGGTTTTTAGAACATTAGATAAAATTAAATTATGTTGTACTGAATTGAAATTTTCTTTTATAAAAGACAATAATATATTAAAAGAAAAGGTACAAAGCAATAACCAAAGGGCAGAGGATTGAGAAGACCCCAAAAAAGCTACAAAAGAAGCATCATCTAATTGTGAAGAATTCAGAGGCCAGGTAGATGCAAACAATTATGTTCATCTGATCAATCACAAGGAATTTGCTCCACAGTTCCTTTTACCAAGTATAGGAACCTAGAAAACTTGTACAGAATCAAATTCAATGTGCAACAAGAACTTCAATCAGAGAGAGCAAGACCGATTTAAAAAGAAAAAAGTAAAAAAGAATACCTGATACAGCTGAACTGGAAATGCAGGCAAGCATCCATCCCAAACCCAGCCTCTTAGAACTAGCAGTAGTGATGGAAAAAGAAGAAAAAGAAGAGCAGTCCTATCCTGCTCGAAGATCATTGTGAGTCCCCATATAAATTATTTTCTCTAGGAAATGTAGGTAGTAGTGGACAAAGAACAAGTGAAAAGAAGAAAAATAGAAGAAAGCTCCAAGTATGCGAGTCTAGATGGATAGAGAGAGTAAAAAGAGAACACTAAACAAATGATATGTGGTTTGTTTCTTTAGTAGAAATAAAACAGATAAGATGAAAGATCATGATATATGGAATTTTTCCAATAAAATTCCTCCAATAGCCAAGCAACTCGAACACAAAACTGATAATTTATTTGCAGAGTACTAAAAAAAATGGTCGATTACTTTTGATGAAAAAACAAGATGTGGGCAATGTTCCAATAAGAATCTCAATTTCCAATAAAATCCCAAGCAATCAACTCAAACATAACCTCCACCCCAATTTCTAATAGAACCCGAGGATCCCACCAATTTCTAATAGAACCCAAGGATTCCACCAATTCCTAATAGAACCTGAGGATCCCACCATGCAATCAACTCACACATAAAATCCCACCAATTTCTAATAGAACCCGAGGATCCAGGGCAGAAAAGTAAAGTGTTGTCAGCATATTGCAAGTGTGTAACCTCCACCCACTGAGAATACTTTGAAGGATACTTGAAAAATCTGAGAAGATATAAAAATCCAATCTTATTGAAGTCCATTTTCCATGGCTTAATGCCTGTCAATGTCGTCCTTGCTCCAAGGTTGAGCAATATTATTTGGGAAGGAAACTACCTAAATAAATGTAAAGTCCTCTACTCTCTACTACTTAGAAGGGCGAATATGTGTGACACACAATTCAATGAATAATTTAGTTGCAAAAATGTAAAACCTCCCCCTCTCATGTCCTTTATCATACGATGTTGTGTTGAAAGCTTTTTTGATGTTTCTAGGATTACTCCATCCACACTAGGAAGGGGACTGCTAGAAAATTCATTACGTAAATGCTTGAACAGCACTCTAGTCCATTTTAGGGAAAATGTTTCAAATACAATGCCAATTTATGGGAGATTTGGCTAGAAAACCAATACAAGAGTCTTCCTGCCATTGATCTTCTATTTTCCAACTAGAGGGTGATTTTATTACTCCTCCGGCATAGGGTTTGAGGGCGCCAATTCTTCGATGACTAGAAATTTTATTCCATTAATGAAATTTTGTTTCTTACAAACATAAAATGGAAACTACCCCAAAAGCTGGAGGAGAGGTCAAAATAAACTAATCTGTTCCATCTAAAGCATCATTATGCAAATCCATAGAAGAAAGAATGTTTCGATCAGCTGTTGATGTCTGCTGAGCCTCAAATGATAGACTACCGAATACATATGTTCGAGTAAAATACAAAAGCGAGAAAGAAAATAAGCCTTCATAACAAAGCACTAATTTCGGAGAGTTCGAGGTATGCCATAGCCGTAATGATTGAAAAGCTTCATCAAGTGCAGATTAAAGCATGCAATAAAAGTAGCTCTGCGACTAAAGGGAAAAAGATGTGAGATTTTGAAATACAGATAGTAACAGAAATTCATACTCTGTAACTGTTGTACTCCTCTTTAACTTTCAACTGAACGTCCTTCCGTGAGGCACGCACGTTAATAGGTCCCAGAAACATCTGCAAGAACTTCCCTGCCATCAAATTACATATTCAGACACTAAATGCAGCAAAAGGCAAACGGACACTAATCCTGATATTGTCCTTCCATTTCCTAATTCCGCGATTCCCTAAAAAAAGAAATAAAAAATTCAAGATCTCCAAATACGAATGAAAAGGACTCCTAACCCTGAGCCTTCCTAGGAAGAAAAGATGCAACTTCTCCATCGACCATCAGACACCTAGCTCTCTGCAAGTCATCTTCCAGCTGATTCGTCCAAACAAGTGGAAAAAATGAATCGATCCGTGTATTGTAGAACAACAGATTTGAAATCAAATGCGTGCAAAATTGAGAAATAAACATGCCTTGTCAGCAATCTTAGGGTCCAAAAGCTTCTTGGAGAGAAGCGAATCAAGTAAAGAACGGAGACGGCGAATGGAAGAGTCAAGAGAGAGAGCACGCTGGCAGAGAGACTGCTCATCGGTGGCTGTTCTGGAGATTAGAGATGCAGCCGAATCATGCAGCTCCTTCGCCTGCTCCACCACTCTCCCAACTTCATCCTCCACGTTGTGCGACGAATCGGCCATGTTCTCCGTCTCCACCATATCTCTCCACCCTTGAGACGATGGTGAACTCGATCTTGGTTGAGGCTGCAAGTCCACAAAGGTAGATAACGAGAAGGCGAATTTGGTAGACCACCTCTTGAGAAGCTAATTGAGAGAGAAGGCAAGTATCGACGACGGGCTGTGCTGTTTCTTCTTCAGACGATTCACATTCACGTAACCTTTCTCCTTTCCTCTCTCTCTTACAAGCGGTCCAAAATTATCGGTTTTATGACGGCTTTTTACAATAATTTCAATTATAAAAGTATATTATGTAAAAATAAATCAAATTTTCACCCTTATATTATTAGATAGATCTTGAGCTATATAACATTTTGACATTCAAACTTTATTTTTCTTATTAAAAATAGCACACGAAATCATATATAAAATCATTTTAAATTATACTAATAAATATTTGTGGAATATTATTTTTTAGTGATGGAGCTTGATTATGTCATACAAGAATCGTTATAACCTTACATCACCCATTATTTTTTTCTTCTAAATCATCTTTTACATTGGTCCTTAATTAACCATTAGATTAATAATAAGTTTACATTTTTTAAATAAATTTCACAATTTAAGAAAATTTAATAATTTATCTATTATTGTTCAGTTGGTATATTTATTAAGTCTACAAATTAATATGCAAGGGTAAAATGGTAAATCTTCTTAACTTTGAAGTTGAAGTTCGTGAGATTAATGCATCTATAAACTCAATGTTAATTGTATTTCAAGTAGGGAATTATAATACTTGAAATTATTTTTTATAATTAGTTATTTATTTTTTATAATGGTCTTATTTTCTATCAATAAATTCATGAATAAATTAATGACATATAAGTGAAATAAATGTAGACCTAAATAATGTCATCCACACCGAATCAATTAAGATATATATAAATTGAAGTGTTAGTATCAAATTTATTTAATTATATGATATTTTTATACCAATATATCCATGCAAGATATATTAGAGTTAGCATTTAGTTTGATAATAAAATGCTCTAATTTCAGTTCCACAGAACACAGTCTACAAAATCTTTCGGTAACAACTTAAGCCCATCCAAGTGTTGTGCGTCGGAAGCAGAACAAATGTACTCACAACACCAATGAACGAATTTACACAAAGAGGCACCAAGATATTTACGTAGTTCGGAGAGAAGAAGTTCCTCTACATCTACGAACCAATCACTAATAAACCAAAGCGTTACAAGTGAATACCTCACTATCACACTACAAAAACTTTCACCAACATGTCACTCAACAAATACAATGTGACTCCTAAAGCTCTCCCAAATTCCGATACCATTTATCAGGAATGGATATTCATAATGGAGGGAGAAATCTCCCATTATATAGCATTACATAATCAAATCTCAGATATGACTAACACTAAATCTAATTCAAAGAATCAAATCAAATCAAGTCAAAACTGATGACAATTTAAACACCAAGCATATCAAATCAAGTCAAAACTGATGACAATTTAAACACCAAGCATATAGTAGACGGTTTCTGTAAGGTTTCTCAAATCTAATCCAAATAACCAAATCAATTCAAAACTTATGACAATTTACAACACCAAGACCGTTTCTTTAAGCTTTCTCTATTAGTCTTCCGCTCAAGCTTTTGAAACACGGTTACTAAGAGAGATTTCCACACCCTTGTAAGAAGATGTTTCATTCTCCTTTCTAACATGTGCAGAATCTCACAATCTACCCCTTTCAAAGCTCAGCCCTTGCTGACACTCATCTTCTCTTCAATCAATGTAAAATGTTCTGACACTCGTTCTTCTCTTCAATCAATGTAAAATTTTATAAATTATATTTTTGTGTCCGATAGATTTATAATTTTTTAAAATGTTGAATAGACACGTGTAGATGACAAAATCAAATTTTGGAACAATAATGTCCCAAATGATATATATAAAATGTTTTAAAAAAATTGCTTAGAAAATTACATAACATAGGAACAGAAATAAAGAGGAAGGAAATTACAGAAATACCTAAGTAGGGAAAAATGTGGAGAGTAAAAGGAAAGAAAGAAAGTTACAAACTGTTCCAGTAAAATCTGAAATTTACTATGCCTGTTTCTCTTGTTGCTGGTTGGTTTCACCAGTCCAGTAAGTTTTAACCGCAACAAGAATCTTCTCAGGGTTATATGGTCCACTTTCATGGTCCATAATTTGGCTCCTCCATCTCATTCCATCAGTAATACTCTGAATTTTCACCAACACTTCAACTGTATCCCTAAAAATTACTGTCCCTTCCGGCCGTAAAATCCTATCCATCTCCAACAAAATGTAAGTTACATCACACCTGCATTCACAAAACAATGCATTTATTAGATCAAACAAAGAGATTAAAAGAAAAAAAAAAAAAAAGAGCTTCAATCTTGCCTATCTTGATATATGCTAAATATGCCATAGGCATGGATGAGATCATATGTTCTTGGGTACGTCGAGAAGGCCTCGCACCAATCTTGGTACGTTCCGATGAACCCGCGCTCGTATATTACGCCCAACGTGTCGTGATCTGAATTTGCAGGGACGACGTTCATAACCCATACTGGAAAATTCACCATTGCAGCTGCAAACCCGCCGAGATTTGCATTCATGTCCATTATGTTTCGGTACCGTCCTTGAGCCAAGGGGATCATTTTCTTGTAATATGAAATCCTATCTTTCCATAGTTTGTTATCCTCTTCGAATTTCTCTGCGGTGATGCCTGGTATCGTTCCTCGACTGATTCGAGGAGGCACGGCGAACGCGCGGTTTGGCCAATTCTCTACCGTACCACCAGCAACTTTGTCGTTGCTACTGACCTCTGGCAATGGAGTAATGCATGTCTCCATGTTTGTGTACCTAATGATGAAAGTATGTATAAGAAGACATTATAAGTAAAGGAACATATCTCCTTTGGTACGAGGCCGTCTGAGAAAGTCCAGACAAAATCATGAAAACTTATGTTCAAATTGGATAATATCATACTGATATGGAGGGTCGTGATTACCAAGCAACATCGGAATTGTCTGATTTGCAAATATGGGGAGTTTTCATGACTTTCTTGTTCTGAATGCATTGCATGTGGTTGAGGGGCTTTTGCCAAATGGAAAGATCATCCTTCTCAATCACTTTATTCCAGCACAGTCTCCTGGCAACGTCTTCAATGGAGTCCTGTTCTTGTTTCAAGTCCTCTTGTGTTCTTTCCCAACCTTTCCAATACTTCTTCCAACGGATCGGAGGGCCCGAGAGAATCCAATACCCACCGGGTCTCAAGATTCGGTCGAGCTCGATTAAGTATAATCCATCTGTGTAAAGTTTAGAATGCACGTTTTAAAATCATTTGAACGAATCGTAGACATTGCATACATTTATGTAGTGTTACCATTTTTGGCCCACGGGATGAGACAACGGGAGCAATGAGCCATGTCGAAAGCCCGAGCAGGGTAAGGGAGTCTTTGAGAGGCCATGATGCCAATCATGGCGGGAACTCCGCGCTCTAGCGCAAACTGAACTTGAGCTTCATGAGTGTCCCTTGGGGCAAAGGACATGGCTAAGATGTCCCTCTTCAGCAGATAGGCACCCCAACTTGCTACCTAAAACACCCAAAGCCAGTGGCCACCATGACCCAAACACACATCAACAATGTGTATAGTTACGAAGGATATAATCGTAATTATACGATCAGATATCGTACATATTTTTAAAATGTAAAAAAATAATTTTTTTTTATAGTAAACTTAGCTCAATAGAAATTGACATTATAAATCGTCTAAATGGTTCTTGTTCTACATTGGAAGAAAAATATTATTGAAAATGGCTGCAATGTAAACTCAAGAACAGACAGAGGAACGATTTCGAGTAGAGAAATTCACTTACACCACAGCCGGTATCAATGGCGGTTCGGATCTTCCCTGTAGTGAGAGGAATGAGTTCGTTGATGTCGTCAATATAAGCATCGGCGCCGCGAGGGAACATAGTTCCGCCGCCGGGGAATCGGAACCGATTGCCTTCAACCTGAATCCAATTTTGCACTGCCTTCTCAATGCTAAGTTCTCTGTGAGGAATGTTATCGTACCAAGCATAATCGCGGCTCTGTGGCCACTTGAACGGCGTCTTGTACTTCGGCGGCGCCGGAATCATACAGAGGAGTAGTTCCTCCTTGGTAGGGCAATGGCGCTCTCTGTACTTCAACATGCTCCGATCGAACTTCCTTCCTCTAGTCGGATCTTGACAGGGAGTGTATTCGCTGAACGACATGTCGCAAGGAGATATCGTTTTTGCGGCTGTTTCCATGGTGTAGTTGAAATCGACGCCGTGGTGGCTGTCGAAGTCGAGCGAACGCGCTGGTGAAGAGGATTGGACGTTGGTGGATGGGAATGTTTGATCGTTGCAACCGACTTTGGAGTACGCTTCGGATTGGTTGATCGATGTTGTGCTGCCCTGCCATGCCCCGAAGAGGTATGATAAAATGCACAGCCCACTGATGCCAAGAATCAATGTCAGCCGCTTCCTTCTCGACTCGAGATGGTGATGTTTCGGTGAGCTACTGTACTCCTTCGCCATTTATTTGAATTTTGATCCTTAGAAATTCCTGTGAAATCATCCAACAGACACTGATTGTTAACGAATCTCTACTGAATCAATAGTTGAACCTGAAGCTATATTTTAGATATCATGTTCAAATGCACATATTAGCCACTCTTCATTCTGGATTGCTGAGTTCTGATTATGTTGGGGGAAAGAATTTGAAAGACAACAGGAAATTATGGATATTATTTTCACTTGCACATATTAGCCATTCTTCATTCTGGATTGCTGAGTTCTGATTATGTTGGGGGAAAGAACTTGAAAGATAACAGGAAATTGTGGGGAAAACTTGTTCTTAAATGTTACATGGTACTATTTTCACTTGCACATATTAGCCACTCTTGATTCTGGTAATTGAAGGGAAACAAATTTGAAAGATAAGCAGGGAAAAATCGACAGAAAAGAAGAAGCAAGCTCTTGCTTAAAATTTTAATATCATGAACACAAGCCACTCTTGATTCTTGATTCTTGATTCTGGGTTCTGGTAATTGAAGGGAATGAAATTTGAAAGTTGAGCAGGAAAATCTAACCAACAGAAAATAAAATTTTGAAATCATTAGCACAAGCCGAAAGTTCAAATTTGGACAGGAAGTTGAAACGACAAACTAC